AAAGAAATCAGTCCCATAAGAAGAATTTTTCGTGTGAGAAGGCAGAACTGACCACTGCTGGGGCCCTGGTAGAGCGACGAGGCTCGACTCAGTTTGGCATCGAAGTTCTGGTTCTCGCTGGAGTTGCTGTCTTCATCTGCAGCSGTGCCGTTCCCACTGTCCTCGTCAATTATCCCACCTGGAAATATATATATGTTGTAGCGGAAACGTGAATATCTTCTCAACAAGAGACAGTCTAACTAATGTTCCTGTTAATTCATCTGATACTTCTCCCTTAGGCCTTAGAACAAAGACTAGACTTCCTGTCGCCAGTTAATTTGTTTATCATCTCTTTCAGAATAAGACTGGAATAAACATTGTTTGACATCAAAGGGCCCCTGATGTTAAACAAGAAGAAACATCAAAAGATCAGATTTATCTGTGGGTCAGCAACGCCACCCTGTGGACATTTTATCTATTAACCCTGAAAACAGTTTATTTTTCACCCATGTTTTCCATTTATAACTATAAAAAGCATCTGTGAAGTGTCAAAACAATACCTTGGTACTCTGATTTAATTACTGTAGTAATCATGACACTGTTTAAGTAACTTGATCTGGTTTTGATTAACTATTACTCTGTTCTTCTGTTACATGTCCTGATAGGTCATTTGACCACCGCAGAAAGTCTTAACCAATGAGAAGTTCCGTTGTGAACAGGGAGTGTTTCGTTGTTCTGCCATGTAGAGAGTTCTAAAGAAGTATTTGAGGAGAGAGTAGCTTAGCTCCAGCTTCCCCCATCCCGGGGCGAGGCCATTCTTTTCCAACTTTTTCCTTTTTATAGTTTAACTTAAGGTGCTTTCAGGAAGGAGATTTACATTGATTGAAAACGATAAGGCTGATTTAATTCAAGTCGGACGACCACCAGTGTGCCCGCAAGGAAGCAGCCGCAGCGGTGCGCTGGACCACATCTCCAATGAATGCAGCCCGGCAAACCAGATGACCAGGGAACTTCTGCACAGCTAATTCACAGACTCGGTTGGACTTCACGTGCCAACCCAATTAGCATAGAAGTATCCATTCTGGCGTCTACAAACTTTGCCGGTAGGAAACATCTTGCTTAATTAATCTGATGGTGTGTTCAAAGACTTATATCAGATCAGATTATATCAATGTTCATTCTTCTTCCCCTGAGCTCCCTCTTTGTTAGCTGTAGGCTTAGGAATAGCAAGTTAGTGTCTCACTGAAATATGTGTAGAAAGTCATTCACATGGTAATCATGCCAGATTAATTACGTCACTTCTTGATCAAGTTTACGGAACTGATTATAAAGTGTGTTTTTGTCTGAGTAATGATTTGTAATGCATATATTTCCCTCTGAGCCTCATTTTAAATAATTCACCGATGAATTTCCAAATGTGATTTGTCTCCGTCTGTATTTCCTTGTCTCACGCCGTCATTAAACTGAAAGAATTAAACGCCTTCATATTTAGAGATTGAATATTAAGAGAAAAATTTTTCTGAAGTTTTACTATTAAAACTTTAGTGGTGCCTCGAGGAAAAAGATTATTTGTGTATTTAAATAATTCACAAATTATCCATTTTAGAATTTTAGAGTTTACAACCTCTACAATGTTAAAAATAAATAAATACGTCTTCCTGTTTCTTTACTCCTCTGCTTCTTATTTACAAACCGTTGCCATCCTCGCTGTCGCTGAGCTGTCTCTGCGGTGGGACTGGTGTTCTTCTCTTCTGGGCTTTAAGGTAGATCTTCTGGAAATTCATCAAAGAAAAAAATCTATTTATTAAACTTTTACAGGTTTTAGATTTTTAAAGGTCTAATCTAAGTAGTAAACTTCTATCATAATGATTTTTACAACTCATTGCTCTTTTTTAACATAATTTAAAGCTTATAAATTATCTGAAAATGAATCTCAACACATCGCGAAGAACAGAGAAACAAGTGCAGGAAGTGAGGATGTACAGATTGACACTTCACTGGCTCGTGAACAAATTAATTAAAAAATTTATACTAATCATCTGTGAATGATAACATAAAAAGTGCTACTTATAATAATAATTTTAATCAGTATAAAATAAACTGTCAGCACCAGCTGCTGGTTTAATCTGCTTGTGTTTAACCAGCGAAGATAAATGATTATTTATAGATATGTTGTTAAACTAGCTATCAAAAACCACATAAATAAGGTTTGAAAAGCATATTTGTTCATTTTTAGTTATCAGTTAGCTAAATAAAGTATACTTTTTCAAATTTTTAGTAAAACTGTAAGGATTAGTTTAATATTTGATCAGTCAATCAACAAAATATTCAATTTTTTCTGAAATTGCTCATTCATTATGGTCATATTTTAGCTAATATTACGTAATTTTCAATTTTCAGTTTTTTTCTGATGGCAGGTTTTGTTGTTATTTGTAGTCRAGGAAAACATTTCAAAAAGACATCTTTAATAAACATTTGCTCGTTTGATTATTTTGCCTTTTCTTCTGCTCACATCCAACTCCACGTCTTGTTTTTACATTTATACGCCACAATCTTCTTCTTTTTTTTTTTTTTTTTTTTGCTCAAGATGGGACTCCGTTACAAGAATCACCCTTACATTGAAACATCCAAATTAAAATTTAAACTCAACTTTTAAATCCCCCACTTCAAACTGTGCTGTCAGAGTGCACTCCCCCCCTCTCTTATCAGCTCCCTGTGAGGGTGGTGCGTCTGCTCGCACATGGTGGGGAGGGGGCGACAACTCTATCAGCTGTTAACAGCCGAAAGCCCGAGGAGCTTTAGAACATGTTGATACTTCTGTCGCATGAAGTTTAAATCTATAAACGTAAACATTACATTTGGGCGAAGCGGCAGCTTCAGTAAAATATTAAACATTTAAGAAAATACAGGAAACGGGGCTTCGTCTGTGTGACGTCATTGATTTCCTTCAAATCCACAGAGGTTCGGAGCAGTTTAACTACTTCCTGTGTATTGCATCATCTCCTCTATAATAAAGGAAACTGACCAATATTCTCCTAGGCCTTATTTGCTGATATTATTTTAATAATATACGTCATATTACAGTTACTCACTCCTTCTTTGTTGTTACTAATGAGTCTCTTTTTCTTCATGTTGTCCATCTTATTCAGCGTAGATCTTGTGCTGCACAGAAATAAGTGTTTGGTTAGAAAGATGTTTTGTTTTTTGTGTTTTATGATTCTGGTGTTTAAATCGGTTATTTCTTGTTCTCTCCTGTGTTTTCAGCCCCTCTCTATGCCAGGAGTATCCAATCCTGGTTCTCGAGGGCCACTATCCTGCAGGTTTTACTAGATTCTCTGCTCCATCACATCTGGTTTAGTGAATGAATAACCTCTTCAAGTTCTGCAGAAGCCTGTTAATCACCCACTCATTGAAAAAAGGTGTGTTATTTAATATTACCACAGGACACTGATAAACTCCTTTAAACATGATGCATTAAAATAAGTTGATTTTTAATGATAATTTAAGTCTTTAAAGCCTGAAAACCAGACACATTATTCTTTTAGAGGTCTTACTTGTTATTAAAKCCATCCAACATGTTGGATGCCTGATATCTGCTGGTCACTTTGGTGGGTCTGGTGCTTCTCCTCAGCCCACTCCTCCTGCCACCTGGAACAAATTTGATGTCATTCCCCAACAACCAATTTTTTGGTAAAACGTAAAAAAATAAACTTGCATTGAACAGTATCTGAAAATATTTACAGATTATTTGTTTCTCTTAAARCTCACATGGTTTTAAACATTTTCTGTTTCTGGCTTTACCTGAAGGTTTCTGAATCCTGAAGGACCTCCTGTTAACAAAATAAAACTCTATATGAGAAAACTAAAACACTTTCCGCAGAATCCTTGATGACACACTGACTCAAGCATCAGACTGCTGAGGATTCATATCATCTGGTTTATTCTGTCACTATTCTTTTCCACATTACAGGAGGACAAAGTCCTGTTTGTTCCACAGGATTATTTTATTTTTAAACCAGTTGTTTCTATTATAATCTCAATMATTTCAAAGCTCCTTTGATTGATCCTTGTTTCAGTCTTGGATATAAAGTTTTAAACTGGTTCAAAAAATTACCTTAATATCTTACGGAAATGTATCAATAAGCTAACTAATTGGTACTATATGTACTTTAAATACTTTATATTGTGTTTTTTATTACATTATTTTTTATTTGAGGCTTCAAATTTGAAGTTTTCTACACATAATAGTTGGGCTGTGTATTGGCAAGAATTTGACGATACGATACGTATCATGACAGAGGGCTCACGATACGATAT